ATATATATATAAAGAAATTCCAATATCAGAAATCTTTGGGGATATGTTTTTATGTCTCTCCTTCATTGAGGCTTGTTTTCTTATGTTTTTGCTACTCTTTGATTGCCAGTTTATTTTTTATTACTGTCTTTGGGAATCAGTGGCCTAAACTGGGGATTAATTGCCCCAGAGAAAGTTTCTTTAGCTTCTGCTAGTGCCAGGGTATGCTGCATACCTGGGAACACTTCAGCTCCTTTACAGGATCCCAAGCCTTTGTTTCTGATCCATCTCAGAGCTGATAATAGCCATCAGGATAACTTTTTTTTTTTTTTTTTTTCATATTTGCTTCCTGCACCCTGTTCCAGCTCTAGTATCTGTTCACTTGTTTGTTTGTTTTGCTTTTAAGATTGCTAGGCACTCAGGAAATAGAACAGTGTGTTAAATTGCTTCATCTACCAGCTATTATTTTGTGGCAGGAAAGCCCTTTTGAATAGCTCCCTGAATAGAAGAGATCTTTGTAGATCTTCTTCCAAAGTGTCCTGTGGGTAAAATGTGTGCATTTAGAAATCCCATTTTTTGTTGAGGAAATTTGGAGCAGGAATACTTTAAAAGAACAATACATTTATAAAATGCAAACTTTTAAGTATGGTCATTGTTTCCTTCTTGGACATTCATTGTGTAAGTGTCAGATATTTTGTGTCTTTTAAAAAAACTATTCTCGGGGTGCCTGGGTGGCTCAGTTGTTAAGCGTCTGCCTTCGGCTCAGGTCATGATCCCAGGGTCCTGGGATTGAGCCTGGCATTGGGCTCCTTGCTCGGCGGGAAGCCTGCTTCTCCCTCTCCCACTCCCCCTGCTTGTGTTCCCTCTCTTGCTGTCTCACTCTCTGTCAAATAAATAAATTAAAAAAAAAAAAAATCTTTAAAAAAAACAAAAACAAAACTATTCTCTGGAAACACAGGATTAGGTCTATTTAATTTACGCCATACATTTCATAGTTATGGCTTCACCTCTGTATTGAAGTGAAATAAAAGATTGAACAAAAATGGCCCTTGTCTATACATACTGATGAAATGTAAATTTTGAGAAACAGTAATAGCTAATATTTATGGAGTGCTTATGTGCTGGGCACTGTTCTAAATATTTATGCTTAATCCTCACAACTATTCTATGAAGTAGGTGTCCTTATTCTTCCCATTTTATATGTGAGGTAAAAGGCACAGGAAAATCAAGTGTACTTTTCTAAGGTCGTGAAGTTAGTACATGATGAAGCTACGATACAGACCAGGCAGTCTGGCCTCAAAGTCCTTGTGATTAAACACTATGCCTCTGTGTAATAAAAGAAGTTTAGAAGTGGCACTTATTGGTAGATTTAAATAGAATATTCCAAATGATTTTCTTAATTTTTGAGAAAAGTGGGATACTAAATGACTGATTGTAGTAACTAATGCTGTATATTTTTATTTCCTTTTCTGATTTCATTTGTCTCATCAGCTATTGTAGGTGAATATATTCTATATAAAAATAATTCTTGTAAAACTGAAATGTGCCCTTTTTAGCTAAAGTGCATTTCATTGTACCATGTTTTTAAAACCGTTTTTAACAGCTTTATTGAAGTGTATTTTATATTTCATAAAATGCATTCATTGCAAGTCTACAATTTAATGATTTTTAGTAATTTAACTGAGTGGTCCAGCCATTACTGTAAATCAGGATTAGAACGTTTTCATCCCCCTGGTAAGATCCCTCTTAACTTATTTACACAAAATTCTGTTCTTACCTCTAACCCCATGCAACCACTAATCTATTTTATCTCCAAAAATTTGTTTTTTCCTGGATATTTTGTTACCATACCATTTTGTTGTATGGTAAAAAATAGTAAAATACTATTGACTGTATTTCCTTATGCTGTATCTTTTATGCCCCCACTTTTTTTAATGTAATATTTCTAGACAAGATGTTATACCTGCCAACCTTGCTGAGGCGGTATAGTGTAGTGGTGATTCAACATTTTTTAAATGAACTAATCCATTAATTATGCTTTGGAGCAATAATAGTGATGATTTTACTGTTTAAAACTATGACTGTATTTAGGGACTATTCTTTAACTACATTGATGTAGACTGTTAAGCTTGAATTCTTGTTTCTGCATTTTATAGTTTTTCCTTCTCTGCTTACTATTTTTGCTGCGATCACTATGCCTACTCTTTATTACTTTTATAGTGCACAGTCCCTTACTGAATCCTCAGAATATTTTCCATGAATAAAATTGGAAGAAAGTGTGAAATTTGTGACATTAATTTGCCACTTTGAAATTAATTGGTGCCTTTCCCATTCTTGAAGTTGTTTGCCAGGCCCTTGCATAAGAGAGATGTTACTAGTTTTTTTATTTTCACAATCTGTTTTATCCATCATCCTGATGGTAATCAGAATTTTTTGTGAGATACTTGGAATATAAAAGATGGCTGAAGTATTAGATTTGAATTAGAATCAAGCAAACATATATTTCAAAAGGCAGAAGTAGGACATGAGTAATAGTACCTTCACTAATTAACCTCTCTTACACATAATCAGCATTGACACAACATTTTGGTAAAACTTTTCTAATTTCAGTCACATGAACATTTATCACATTTTCCTTTTAAATATCATGTTGAAATTTTCTTTTTATCATGTTGAAATTTAAGTTATAGTATGTTCTACAAGATTTAATGAAAGGCTTTGCATGTTTAGGAAGAAGGTGAAAACCACTTTTTGAATTTCATTTTCTGTGTAAATTTTATTGATGTTAAAGGTGCTTCACAGAATGATGATGGCTCCAGACCCAAGGATGAAACAAGGTAAGAGTTCACTTGTTGCTTTACCACAGAATATAAGAAGAGACAAGGGAGAACGAATATTAATTGTAGTCAAAATTTTAGTTTGACTAAAACAAAAGTTCAGACTGTTATAAAAATAAACAAGGGTCAAAAAATTCAAAGCTCAGGGGCTCTTGGCTGGCTGAATGGCTGGAGTATGCAACTCTTTTTTTTTTTTTTTAAAGATTTTATTTATTTATTTGACAGAGAGAGACACAGTGAGAGAGGGAACACAAGCA